GTGTGTGTGTGTGTGTGTATGTGTATGTATATTGTGTGTATGCGTGTGTGTACATATGTGTGTGTATGTGTGTGTACTTGGTGTGCGTGTACTGGTATGTGCATGCTGCGTGTAGATGTACTTTTTAACGAGCCAGATAGTGTAGAGACAAAGCACGGCCTCTCAAACTACGAAATTAAAGAGCTGACAGTTCTTGGAAAAGATTCCCGACTGTTCATGGGGCAAAAAACTTGAAATCAGCTTTCAGCTTATTTGTGGTTCTGACTTTTGACTTCGCGTACAAAATCGCATGAATTTTGTGATGTAGTATTCAAAAATGTTGCTCATTTGATATTTTGGAAGTTGCAGAACGCATCCGAGTCAGCAAAGCTGAAATCAAGCCCTGGTTGTTTGTTGCGCGTCTAGTTCTGATGTGAAATGAATCACTTATACATTGTTTCTAAATTAATGTTCGGACAATTACTGTTAGCGAGTGTGCTGGCACTTGGATCGGGCCTGCTTTCCCGGAGAATTATCGTAATGTGGTGCGGTTTTGAATCCAAATGAAACTTTTGTTTTCGCCTATACTGGAATACATACTTCAGGCTGTCGATTATTTCGAGAAATTGGGCTGTTTTTCGGTCACTGCAAGCCTGCATAAAGTTTGCATCACTTACGGAGGAGATCTTGCCCGAACTAAATGAAGATGATGATGAGTGAGTTTTTGTTTTGGCGATTTGCTGAAGCGATGTTTCATTTTTCTAATCCGTCTTGCAAATCAGTTACATGGCTATTCAAAACATGGCGGGTAGGAGGCTATACTGATGATTCCCACTCCTACCTGCACGCACAGTTCGGTCTGTGCATACAGCTAAGGGATGAAACACAGACTGCGCCATAAAATGTCTTCATACACATGACATTCAAGTAAAATCCTTCTATTCCTCTCTTTTCATTGCTGCACCAATTTAGAGAATAAAAATTCGTAGTCTGTGGTAATTATTAACTTTACGCTACTAGCTTCATTTAAACTGACCTGGAAAGTAACGATAAATTGAAACAATCCAACAGTCTATTTTATTTTATATGGTAACAGTGATGTCCTGTACACCTCTCAGGTGACGGACTAATCACCCACGTGGTATCGGAAAAGCAACTACTAAAACTCAGGTCGGCTCAATCGCGCAATATATACTCGTTTTGGGGTTTAGGTTTGAACTGCGAAAGTCGTAATGTCTAGATGAAATTCTTGGTGCCAATAACTTCTCAGCATCAATTTTCATGTTGAGCAAAAAAACTCATACAATTTGCAATCTGACGCTCGCATACCAACAGTTTGCATCATCTTCGTTTTCGATGCATTAATTTTTCGGCTCAGTTTCTTAAATTGTGCGTAAAGCTCCTGTAGCATCTTGTCCATTTCACGAGCCTGGCTTCCGATAACAATCGCCATTTGCGAAGCCTAAATGGCTTAGACGTCCACTATTATTTTTGAAGTTATTTCTTCAGCGTGGCTTGCAAAACCACCACAGAAGCTGCGGTATCCCTTGGGGAAGGTGTGGTATCCCCAGCGTTAATTATGACACAGATTTTACTTCATGGCTGTTGTGGTTACTGATTAGCATTACAACTTCTTCTAGTTTGCTGAAAGAAATCCAAACAAACGTATTGCCGTCTTGGTTGAAACAACTCGAAAAACGTGTGATACCAAATTATGCAGACGAACGGCGTAATGAGAAGTATTTGGAAATTTTGGAAGCTGATTATCGCCATGGACAGGCTTATTCATCATCATCACCATCTTCGCTAAGTCTTCCATTTGCCGAAGCTGCCCTTATGCAGTTCCGTTTATCATCACCATCTACGCCTGAAGAACTGCTTGCAGAAGCTGCATATATGTTTTTACGTGTTTTCAAGTGCGTTGTCCTTTCCACTTAAATGATAGAATACGTTTGGTTTACATTTGAAATTATACCTGGAAAAGAAACTGTGACATATTGTCTCCGATGTACTATGCCATTTGAATTGATGGCACTACCTTCACATCAGTAGATCTGACAGATCTTCGTAGTTTTTTTTCTTTTATCAAAAGTTTCTCATGTGAAAGTTGAAAGTTCTTTTAACAAAAACAGCAACAGTTTCTGTTTCTTTAATTTTTGTGTTTCATCAAAAACCTCTTTAAACACTTGAAACGGCGTAGTTGATCTCGGGTCTATGGTTTGTGAGAGCCCGTCTTATTTTTCTTAATTTTTTTTGGGGTCAGAAATGATAGTGTTGCGTGATTGGTGTGCTGTTGGCGTAAAGAGCCATTAGCGTAAAGAGCTTATGCTGTTTTCTTTATTGTTAGTGACAGCGTGTTACATTATTAGTTTTTTTCAGAAAATCGATGAGCAATGACTACGAGTTATTGCTCGATTTGCTTGACAATGTGTTGGCATGTATGCATATTGCAAGCCATCATTTACAGCTAATCATCAGTGGAATAGTGCAACTTTATGAGCGTTCTGGTAGTTCGCTACAACTGCACACACTGATTCTCGTCAATTCTTTAAAGTTAATGCTTCTCATGTTATCAAAATTACCATGACTGGCCGGTCAGTTGTTACGGGGATTCCACAGATGTTGCTGGGTTGCCTTCACACGCTGAGCACAATTTTTTTAGGGGCCAAAGGCGTGGACTTTTATGCGTATATGGCAGTTATGCAATGCAGAAAACGCATATTGACGAGAGGTTGTCTGTGTATGTGTGTGTCTGTGTGTGTGTTTTTGTGTGTGCCTGTGTGTGCGCTGTGCGTCTGTACCGATTTTTCATCTCGAGACCCACAAAATCTACGGGGCTCAAACTTGCGGAGCTTAATCTGCATGCACGTAAGGGCTCCACTCCCCAAAACGGGTGCCCTTACCCGCGTGGTACCCACGTACGAGCCCGCCAAAGTTTTTTACAGGTAATCTGTTAGCTCGGTAACCAGAAATGCTGGGAGGCTGAAATTTTAAGGGACGTTTCCTGTCCAAGTAGGTATTAATGAGCTCAAAACCAGCCCCCAGTAAGCGTGATACCCACGTACGAGTCCATGAAATTTTTTTTGGGCACGTTGCTAACTCAGAAGCCAGGAAAGCTTGAAAGCTGAAATTTTGAGGGGTTGTCTCCTGACTGATGACCAGTTTTAATTTGTTTAGCTAGAAGCATTTGCCGGGAAAACCAGTGGCGGTAGCGATAAAAACTGCAGGGAAAACTATGCAAAAAACGCATCTTCGCACGGGCAGTCTGTGCGCTGGCCAGTTATTGCTTTGTGGATATAGCAGAGGAACTCCGCCCATTGAGTAACGCCCACACATGATGGGGTCACTTCACTCAACTGACGGTATGAAAAATACAGGAAAAAAGCTCCCTGATTTTTTGCTGTCGGAGAGAGTGGACATCGCTCGAGTAATTCCTTCTGTAGCACTCGATTCTGATCTCCAGCAGAGGGCATCACGAATTCTAAAAGAAGGCCGCACTGTAACTGCTTTCGTGGAGCTTTGTTTTAAAAATTGTGGGTAAATATCAGAAATTATTTGGAAACAGTAAAGCACAGCAAGAAACCACCCTGCGAACCGTCAAACACTTTGCAACAGTAAGCGATCCTTGGCTGTGGATAGCTTTCGCGAGTGAAATGCCAAACTGTGTGTGCATATGCATTATTGCATTTGCATATCATGCAAAGACGCTGAAGCTACACTATATGGGGCCTTGCAAATCTTTTTTCGGAGATTACCACAGTAACCGAGAAAAAGCTAAATGCATGCAGCGTAGAGATTGCTATTTTGTGTGTGACAGATAAGTGTAGCATCTGCAATTATTCTTTAGTTTTGAGTAAGAATAAAATAGTTCAGTGGGAAGTGGCATCGGAGTAGTGGCCCAGGTTAGAACTGTAATTAGTATGTTGCTACTTCTCCTTGTTATCGACTGATTCATTCGTATTCCGGCGCGATTGTTAATACCCAAATAAATACTTTTTGAACGACCAACTCAAATTTGCATTCAGTTCAGTGGCGTATCGTTTAATTTCTCTTCGTTTAAGAGGCATTGTTTTTTCAGGGCACACTGTTATTCGTTTCCGCAAATATATGCGCCAAAATTCCGATTAAAACTTTGCATCAATTCACTTCGACACTCCTTGCGTGTTTCGCACTCCAATATGTTCAATATAGGATATGTGCTACTTTTATTGCGCAATTATTTGGTTCCAATTCAGGATAATTCTATCACACGACATGAATTTGCTCATTATTTGGTAATTTTCTCCTAATATTTGACCAATTTTTTGTGCGTTTTGCGCAGTATGCAAATGCACAAACACATATTGTGATGAACCATGGTGTGCGTGTATATGTATGTATTTATGTATGTATGTATGTATGTATGTATGTATGTATGTATGTATGTATGTATG